CTGAGCAAGGCAACTAAAAGGCAATTGGGAGCATAATAATAAAGTAATGAATAAAATAATGAAAGAATAGAAAAGATAAAGGATTGGTCAATTGATTATGTTATTGATTAAATAAAGAGAAACAAAACACTGGCCGATATCTCTTGTTACAGTTGTGTTTCGGTCGCTATTTTTTCCAGTTCAACTAGTTCAACTTTCCTTTTAAATCACAAGTTCTTCTCTGATTGGCATGAATTATTCCAAGTGCATGGATTACAGTCTCTCTTGAATTTTTCTCGAACGTCCACTCGGTTCAGATATTTTCGCACCGCACTTATCCATAGAACCTAAAGGTAGGCAAGCACAAAAGCACAGGTTCACGTTCATCAACAGCAGTGGTTGAAGAAAATGAGATCTGGTGAGATAACGAACGGGAAATAACGTTTCAGCTCATTTTTCTTCCGTAACTTTTGAATATGTCGCGGTAACAATGGTCTATTGGTTCCTTGGTGATTCGCTTTAATTCCTTAAGAGCCGTGAAAATTTTATTTCAATCTATTTACATAGTATAAAGCACTCTAAAAGTGCAAAACGAAGTAGTGGGTTACATCTTAGACTCAAATATTAAGGCACTCAATAAAAACAACAACACAGAAACAACGCTATTGCCATCGGCATACATATACATGTACCGAGCTGTAAAAGCAAGTCAGCATAACTAAAATTAGTTCTAGCGCTCCTTTGTTAATCTTAGGTGGTCTATATTTATCCATTAATGAAAATTTCCGTACCCTGGAGAGTCACCGAGAAGCCAAATTACGAAAGTTAATGCTCCGTTTTACGCAACCCTTAAGAGTACATTAATCTAAAGAATAAATATTCTAGGGCATTGCGTGAGCTTCGATGATCCTGTGGGTTTAAAAGTAATGCATAGCACCAATTGAAAAGAGCTATAGAATCAGCACACTGTTATAGAACACGAACGTGTAAATACAGGTACAAAGGATCTTTTTTTTTGGGGAGAGATCAGATGTTTACTAAATTTCATCAGTAACTGAATCCCTCATAATTTGTTATTTATTCCTTTATTTATTTCTTTAAAAAAAACCTTAAACTGTTGCACAAAGGACAATAATACAAGAAAACTGCAAAGGCATGAAACTAATTTTAATCTCAAATCTACCTATATATCTTGTTTATCTGCCGCAAACAATATTATACACCCTACTTGGGCGTGCGTGATTTCATCGGAATTAAATTTCCGATACAATCTTTCTAAATTACAATATTAGCCTTTGTGTAGGTTAAAGATATCCAGTACTCTATGATGAATATGCAAGAAAGGGCTGAATCTATCACGAATGTGCGAGGAAAAGGAACACATTGTCATTTGAATGATCTGCTGGGATGAAGGAGTTGGAAAAGAATGGATTTTAAAACACTCTTCTTTTCAAAATTTTGAAATGAATCCTTTTATGGAATTTTTTTTCCGTGACACCCTTGCCTACTGTATCAGTTCACATAGTGATATTATCAACAATTATGTTACTAAAAGACAATCACATTTTTTTGTTGTTCCTGTTTCTGTTTTTTTGTTCTATTTTGTTCTTTTTTTGTTCTTTTTTTGGTCGCCATGCAGTTTTTGATGGCATTTTTTAAATTTTTTTTTTTTTTAATTTGAAACATTCTCGGATTTACATGAAGCTGGAAAGTAAACGTGACCCTTTGAAAAGAAACAACAACAACAACAACAACAAAATTGATATTCATCGATATCTTTATTTTTCAACGTATTTACGAGTCATAAATAAATAAAAATCTTTTTGCCCTTTGTCTACCATGACATATCTTCCTATTGTATCACTTCACATATGATTTGAAACACTAACCTTAGATGGTAGCTAGGTCATGTTTATAAAACAGAATATCGTAATTATTTTTCGCGAGCCACTGAGCATACAAAGTGTATTAACTAAGGCATGACGTTCCAATACTTGAAGAGATGATAATCTAACATCGACAAAAAATGCTCGTGCATTAGATTGAAACCAAATCGGCACCAAAGACATCATTATTTGCATGCTAAAACTTGCATGTTGGGTGTCCTCTTCTTTCATGAATTGATTTTGCACGTTTCATTCTTTCGGTAGACCTAACCTGATCACAACATGATCCAATTCATTTGCTGAGCACATTAAGAGCAATATAAGGTTTAGAAGCTTAGCCGTATGCATGAATGGGTGCGGAGGCAAAGATGAATCGATATTTTTAAATCTGTCTATGTCAACCATTAAGCCTTCATAAGGATTAGTTAGAATATAACTGACGCGTATTTTGGTATAAATTTTGCACATTGTCCACAAATTGAATGTGGAATGTTGTAGATTCAGAAATAATTCAGAAATAAGTAAATGGATGAACTAAAATGAATGCAAAGCAACCCAAAAATTTCAATTTTCCCTGCTTCCAGTTTTCCTGTAATAGATCTCATCTTTGATTATCTCATATAAAAGAAACTGTT